AAAAGGGGTTACGTTCAATTGTACCTACAATTTACAAGTCTCTTGTAAATGATTACATAGGCCAGACATTAGGTTTACATCCCCCATCATTTTATATATATTATAGTTTTGTGATCAGTGTACACTTGTCGTTCTGGCGATATTTCTTCTAAATTTCAAATCAATATCGGCTTTGATAAGTTATAAACTGTGGGTTTTTGAATAAAACGATATGTATTTTCACTTTTTTTTTTCACTGAAGGTTTTCCATATACTGTGTGCGTGGTTTGGCTTAACCCATACCGTATTCCGAACAACATCGGTGCCAATTTTCTCTTCAATTACCTTTGTATTGAAAATGTAACAAATAGAGGAATGGACGGATATGATATGACGGAAAGGGATAAGAAGAACATAAACGAACTAACTTAGCATTAATTATGAGTACTTGTAAATGTGAGAAATCAAATTAAAGGTCTAAGACTTCAATTTCCCCATTTTTTAAGGTTATATACACATTTTAAATTATCTTACCACATATAATTTTCAGTTTGCGGTGCACGCATAACACCCACACCACCACCCAAACGTCTGTAATTCATGCAACCACAAAGACGCCACTGATTTGTTTCAGGATCGTAGACTTCAATAGTTTTTAGATATGCTGAACCATCGAAACCTCCTACCGCGTATAATTGACCATTGACCACAGCTAGACCAACCTACCGGAATAATTAATATAATATAAAAATTAGAATTTTTTTTTTTTTTTTTCATCAACTTACTCCACTACGTCGAGAAGTCATTGCGACAATAGGACTCCAAGTATTCGTGTGTGGATTGTAACGTTCTGCTGATGACAATTCCATGCAATCATCTCGACCGCCTACTGCGTAGATATAATTATTGAACACGGCACAACCCAAATGTTTGCGGCGTGTTGACATTGGATTAACAGCACACCACTTATTTTGTCTGATTTTAAAGAAAAAAGGGAATATTAATCCCAGATTACTAGAATTATGCAGAGTTCAACTTGCCTGGGATCATAACGTTCTACTGTATTTAAAGGACATTGGCCATCAGAACCACCTATAGCGTAAAGGTAGCCACCTAAAACGGCTACAGCTACCCCTAATCGTCTTGTAGTCATAGGTGCCACCTTAATTAATCATAACAAATCATCATTAAATTTAAGCTTATTGCAATGTTATTCAAAAAACTGAAAGTACAATAAACAAGTAAGAAAATTATATTCCTTATATATTATTTTATTTGATACCCATATTGTTCGTTTTATTAAGAGAAAATTAATCGCGGTGTCTACCATATTCATTTTAAAATTAACCCATTTTTATGGGTTCATTTGAGGAATGTACAAAATAGTTTTAAACATTCGGTCTTGTTTACCTTATGATAATCGAGCACAAAAGCTTTAAAAAGTGAAAATAAAATTTAATCATTTGTAACTTTGCGTGGTCATGGGCGATTTTTTCCATTTTTGCACGTACAGAGTAAAGTGTTTCGTAAAGTAAATATGCAAAATTTCAGCCTTCCAGTTTTATAATGTCTGAGTAGCGAGCAAAAACTCACAAATTTTTGTTAAGAAAAACGGAGTTGCGGTCAATTATGCATTATTGCGGACTTCTACTCTGTCCAATTTGGCCCATTTTCAATACCAAGCAATATGCAAAAACTTGCAATGTTTCTACGATGTTTGAAGTTGATATTTTCATTTTTGGGAGCAGACGGGTGCCAACAGCAAACACCACACAGACTGACAGACATGGTTTAATCGATTAAAAATGTACATACTTTATACCGTCTCTGAAGCTAACTTTTGGGTGTTATATACACCATGAAAAAAAAAATAAAATAAAATTGAGTATACCCCCATCCTCCGGTAGTGCGTATAAAAAGTTTGCTAAAGTGTGGAGGCACGAAACTGAAGCTGATAAAAGTTGGTTACTTCTCAGTCTAAAAGTTCCTTATAAACTTACTTTGGACCATTTGTTCTCCTTGGGATCGTAGCGCTCTACATGATTAAGACATTGGACACCATCTTGGCCGCCAACTGCATATAGAAATCCATCCAACACTGCTACGCCGACACTAGTCCGACACGAAGTTGTGGGTGCTACGTCACAAGACCATTGATTCGTTTGAGGATCATAACGTTCAATGCTATTTAAATAGCTCTGTCCATCGTGGCCGCCCACAGCATAAAGCAAATCATTCAAAACTGCAACACCGACACCACAACGCCTTTTACTCATCGGTGCCACCATTTTCCAATCGTTTGTTTGTGGGTCGAAACGTTCAACCGAAGCAATGGCATCGCCTGAACACCAACCTCCTACTGCGAATAATACCTCACCACGTCTTGTAGGCTTACGTGGACGGGTACGTGGTCCTTGCATAAGGGGTCGTTCTTGTGGAAGCAGTAAATAGTTTTTGGCCTCATCCACCAAATCTCGGCAAGCCTCATCGGAACGCACCAATAAATCGGAGCCTACCGTGCCCACAAGAAATTTTGGCGATAACAAAGGAAGACGTACATGTTGTAAGACCTAGGAAGAAAATACAATATGCATGAATTTCAAAAAACATTCTTCCAATAACTTACCTGAGCTAGATGTTGACGTCTATCAGCCACATTATATTTTAACCAGGACATTACGGCATTAAAAACCTGTTCCTCTGACCTTACGTTCAATTCATCGCTACATATTATATCCACCAGTTGCCCAACAGGTAACAATAAAAACTCTTCACTTTCCATGACCTCTTGAAAATTGTGTTGTGTAAATTTATCGGCTATTCGCAACAATTCGCGGCATGAGTGGGTATCGGCAAACGCTCGTATGCCCAAACAATTGGTTGGATCTAATTGTCTTTTGAGAAATTCACAGCAGATATCTTGAATTTCAACTAATTGAAGTAAACAAGCGGCCGGTAAAAGTGTCTGAACATTTGATTCTTCAACAATTATATGAGCAGTGTAGCAGAAATCGATGAGCAGTTCCATAGCGTTTTCGTCTATATCGCGTATGGTAACTTCCGTTTGACGTGATTCCTCCAATTCACCAGTAAACATGGCACGGAAGTATGGTGAACAGGCGGAAAGTATAACACGATGAGCGAATATTTTTCGACCACCTACATTTAAAACAACATCGCATAATTCACGATGACGACGTAACATATTTAGTTCGGAGAGAGTAACTTTGGGATGCTTTTCGGAGGTGTGTGATAAACGAGCTGGCGATGGTGGTCGATCGACAGCACCACCAGTCGTCGCACCCGCGCCACCTATAGCACCCGGCAGCAGCGGATCACCCATTCTGTTTGCCCCAAAACGTAGAGGGGCAGAAGCCCAGCCCCACACGGCGTCTATCTGCAACAATTAGATTTTAAGCAGTGCTCACTATAAATCGTAAAAAATTAAATTAATTAAAATCAGCTTCAAACGAAAAAGTCTTGCTTTCAACTACAGTTAAATATATATATTTTGTTGCACAGATCCACAAAATAAACTCAAATTTTTTGTAGCAATATCATTTCATGAACATTAAAAACTAAATTGATAATCAAAGAGGAAACGTCACGAAATAGATTAAAAACATATATAAGGGTTTCATCATATATTTTTACTTATTTATAGAAAAACTGTGACATCTGTCCAAACCAGAAAGCCTTTCATGACCTTAATATTATGATATGAACTGACTAATTAACATCCCGACATTCCCGACATAATCAATAAATTGTGTACCAGTATGGTAAGTAAATGAAATAAATAGTTAACTTTGTGTCTACGTGTATAAACTAAATACATTACCTTCGCGTTTTTCTCTAAACCAACAAAACCAAAATACCAACAGGGGCCACAGGCTAAATATTTCGAAAATGCAATTTTCGGTTTTTTCTTTACACTCTTCAAAACAGCATAAACATTGAACTTGTTTTCAATATTTAGTTTTTTATAAGAGTAGACAGTAAAACAACTTCTATTGATATGGGCGTTTTATTTTGGAAATTACTTTTTTCGTAAGATCCTCTGCACAATTATAAAGAACACATATGTGCAAACAATTTTACACATACATACGGTAGATAAATTTCGTTTCACAATTGTACTTTTTTAATTAAACTGTAAACCTTTGCAGGGGAACATATGTTCTACTATATCTGAAAAGCCATAACAATCTTATTTCATTAAAGTGCAGCTTATCGTTAGTATAAATTTTCACAACAAATTTTTTCTAATTTATCGTTATGAAGTTTTTTCTGGACCGAAAATATATGCCTGCCTGCAAAAAAATCGCAATTTTTTACTTTTAATACCGTTTTGCTGGTTTTGCTTAACACGCTTTACACAGATGCAACACTGAAGAGAAAGATGGCATATTTTTATTAATCGACTGCAAAAATTCACATAATCATGCAGACGTAACGTGCGAAACTGCGATGGCACTACAATTTCACTGAAATAGGCCTACAAACTGTGACTAAGCCCAGGAGGAGCAATGAGTGCGTCTGAATTTCTGTTGTAACTGTAAACATTAACATATTCGTAAATTGCATTGATCATATGTCTTTATTTATAATTAACTTAAAACGTCAGAATCCGTGAAGAGAAATAATAAATGACATGCTATGACACTGCTATGGAAGATATGAAAGGTATGTTACTATCAAGGATTATGTTGTACTGTGGCCGACCGACATGCTCCTGTTATTCTCCGGGCTAATCACGTATCTTTACTTATCGCGCGTTCGCAACAAAGACGAAAGTTAATGTTCGTTTTCGCTTACTTCGTGTAAGACTTGTATAGTGTTATCATTTATACTGAACGAAGAGATAGAGAAAAGAAGCAAATTTATTTTTAGATGTCAAAATCCAACAAATAATTGATGTTTGTCTACATGAAATAAATTGCAAATGAATCCAATTTTCAAATTTTTAGTGTATAAAGTAAAGATAAATTGTCAAAAATATTTAAAGAAAATTGAAACTATAATTTTTAAAACAACTCTAAACAATAGTTAAATTTCTGATATATGATTCGCTTTCGTCCGTTTGATCGTACCCTTGCGAAACACCATTTTTATACCCTACACCCCTGGTAGTATAGGGTGGATTAAATTAGTGCGGTTGTATGTAACAGACTGCCCGTCCGTTGTGTTGAAGCTATAGCTCGCAATTTTTGGGGATCTTTCCGGGATATTTGGTACACTGTCGTGTTCTGACCCGAGGACGAACGCTACTGAAAATGGTTCGGATCGGTCCACCTTTTCCACAACTCCCCATATAACATCCTATTCTGCAATTTTCAAAATTTCTTCGCAAAAGTGGCTAAGCAGTAGTATTTGAGCATTCTAAATTGTTATGGAAACTTTGGAACGGCCGGGGCAACTTTTGAACCCCCTCATATAACGAAAACTAAAGTTCACACGATAAAAAGGTATCATTTCCAATGCTTCATGAAGAAAATTATATCAATAGTAGCTTAACATAAAAAAATTATATGTACCAAGTTGGACCTTCCCGGCCTGTTTTTGGATTCTAACTTAATAAGGATTTTCACGGAAATTAACGCTTTTCAGAGCGGAGAAGTCTAAGTTTTAATATGTAGTGATGAAAATTGACCTATAATTTTGTAATAATTTCATACAAAAATGAATTCTCCAAACTTTGGACCATCTACGTTGCGTTTTGGGCACGCTTTCGCATAAATAAGCACTTGAAAAATTTGCCCTTATTTAGAAACAAGATATAATTCTTTTGCTCTAGAAATGAAAGAAGGATTGTGTTAGACAATGTGGTGTAGGATATTTTACGCTCGGCCTTGCCTTGACTATAATGTTCTTACTTGTTTTAAGAGTTTTATTTTAAACGAATTTTTGTTTAGATTTTTAATAAATCATATCTAATTATTGATTTTTATCATTTTACATTCATTTCACTAAAAACAATTTATATAAAAATTTCATATTTCGATATATTGCAAATTTCTAAACAAAACCTTTTTTTTTTTTTTGTTTGTCATTCTTTTAAGTTTTGTGAACAAATTGTTGGAACATCCCTTTAATTAGTTGTTAGTTGTTTTTGGTACAACATTTTCTTTTTTTTTTGTTTTTTTAGATGAGTGGATTAGGGATAGTAAGTTTTTAGTTTTTGTCCATCCTTAGCGTTTTTGATGTTATTGAACTTATTCTTCGTTTTCATCATTAGATTTTCATCTTGCAAATTTTTCAATACGGTCACCGGAACATAAGTAACCAATGTATATAATATGTTAGATCAATCCTTATCGACATTCCGGCGTTGAGTTAAACGAATGCGACCACGAAAAGGCGTAGATCTATTGTATTAAGAAATAATACAATTTTCAGCCTTGTCAATTTAAAAAATTCATTAAAAACGAGCGGACCTTATAACCTTTAACGGGATTTGTTTATTCAAGCGACTGTGGATTCTTATTACAGGCCATGCACATTCGCTTCTTAGCAAATTTGCAAATCTCTTTAATGGCACGCACAGGCAAAAGCGAATCACTACTACATTAATAGTTGGTTTGTTTGTTAATTTATCAAGGAGAGCCGATGGCCTGTGTTGCTAGTGCTCAATGTCTTTTTTTTTTTTAGTCTAAGAATTTATTTCATTAGTCTAAAATTATAATAATAAAAAAACTCTACCGCAGTCGTGGGTTCAAACCTCAAGTGCGGTAGAGTTTTTTAATAACAGCCGATAGCCCTAGATGCTAGTGCTTTAAGACTTTAGTCTTAGAATTTATTCTCTGGCTAAATTTATAATAATAATAATAATAATAATATAATAATAATATTAATAATTTATCAAGGAGAAGAGTCAAGAGAGTTTGAATATGGACAGCCACACACAAATATGAATAAAAATTTGTTCCTCTTTCTGCCACTGTTTTGTCTGTCAGTGACGAAACAAGCAGAAATTTTAAATGGTTTGCGGAAAATCGCTTCGATACGATATGTAAAACAAGCTATGTGTGTGTTCAAATACATATAAATACGTTGTAAGGAAACATTTTGCTTCCTCACCAAATTTATGTTTATGTTATTTATGTCCGTTCTTTCCATTTGTCTATGCGCAAATTCAGCCATTCGTCGTCTGCTGTACAAAACACTAAAACTCCGCGTCAATAATTTCGTTTAGAAGTCTGCGTACTCGTCCCATTCGGCCGCCAAATGTCTTATGATTATGTATTATGACACGGCTATTGCTTTGTCGATCACTACTTTGATCTATGGTCATCATATATATATATATATACTTATTGACACTGCGTGCATTGTTTATAAACGTGCATTTCTTTCTTTTAATTATATATATTGAGTTGTTGATTTTGCTGCATATGCGTGTTTTGATTACCTTCAATATATACCCTGAACTATGATTTCGATAGGTACGCATATGAGTATGCGTGGTCTTTTGTTTATATATTTTTGTAAACATATACTTTTTTTCTCCTTATAAGTATACATTTTTGTAGTGTCAACATATAATTTGCTCTTATAAACATGCTTTTTGATTTGCTTATAAACATACAATTTTGTTTTTTTATAAACATGCTTAAATATGCACTTGTCTCTTTGTAAAGATATATATCAAATTATTAATGTATATCCACTTAAATTCTCATGCTTATTAGAGATATATAACTTACAATATAATGTTGTTGTATGTTTGCCTAAAATCTGCTACAACCCATATTTGTGTTTATTACGGCAGTTTTCTTTACTCATATAAACAAACTTTTACAAATTCATATAGATAGCATCAATATCCGAGATGAATATAACTTTTATTGAAATATGCTTACACATATATTGATCTTGCTAAAACAGGTCTTTTCAATAATCGGACACACCTTGCATAGCCTTATTGTAACACATACGTAGAATAATTTCCTTTCGGCGACGAACGTAGCTATGCATAATAAAACACGATGCACAACAAAGGCGACCTCTCCAGCTGCATTATATAATCCAAAAAGTAAGTTCGTAATTATATAGACAATGTTCTTTTATTACGGGTAGGGGACGACTGGCTTAGCATAATCGCTATTCTTCAGTTACTCTAATAGACAAATAGGCATAACAGAGGTAGAACAGATTTTTACGGATTACCAACCATTCCTAACGTCTTAGTTGTGGTAACGAAAAACATTTGCTTGCAGAATCGTAGCGACAAGGTTAATGTAAAACGCGGAGCCCAACGAAGCCAAGTTCGCCGAAGAAGCATAAAATGTGAAGTAAATAAACGGGTTCAAGGTCAAGTGAAACTTTCACTGTGCTAGTCTTCTTTTCGCCCTTACCGATTAAATCCACGACCGTAATTTCATTAATTGTTAACCAATATTTCCGAGAACTAATATAAAATAAATTGGTGAAAACACGAAAATCGAAGTATTTTTGTCTTATTTATAAATATCTTCGAAACGAACTTTCTGGAAATTCCCAAAGTATACCTGGGTTGAGAAGCACGGTTACACCTTGCAATCAATTTTATTATGACAGTTCGTTTATGACACAAAAAATAGAGAGCAGTCAGTATCCTCAACGCTTTAAGATAGATATACCAGACAAAGTTTTTCCTTTGCGACTCGAATAGTGTGTGTTAAAAGAGAATAAGGAAAATTTGTGAATGAGAGCGTGTGTGATTGAACCTTTCGTGTATTAGTTCTTAACAAAAGTAAAACATAAGTAAGAATTGTATATTGGGGTGTAACCGAAACATTAATACCCATCATATTATCTGACTTTTTCTGTTTTCAAAATAAAAGTTTTTATCGTATAGGTCTGTGCTAAGGTCACTTGCAAGTTCTTCTGCAAATTTGAAGGCGATATCTTCATTTCCGCATAACGCCGGAACGGAATTTTTCCTACAGATATTACACAGTTTGGCGCACGGACATACTTCGGTGCATTCCAAATGTGAAACTGGCAAAGAATTTATGTACTTTATGGGATTTTTTAACTTTGTTTTTGCGCGTTATATAGGTATTGAAAAAAAATAAAATTTTTATATACTATAATATTGGATAGGCGTGGTCAATTTGTTCTATTTTTCTCCAGGTACGACAGCATCGCCTATAAACTGGCGTTTTTGGTTCAGTAAATATACCCGCTGTTTTTCGGTGATGGATTTGATTAAAATGTTGTTGCTTTCGAAATTATAACGATTCCAGTCCAGTGCATGCCGATAACTTCAAGTGTTTCTTTCGATTCGTTCAATTTTTTCCATTCCAGCCATGTCTTTTTTTTTTTGTGGCACCTTTTTTTACTTTCAAGTTTTGCGCTCAAGTGTTTAGTGCATTCACATCGATTTTAACGCAGCATATACAAGCAGACGGCAGCTGAACTTTTACTTCTGTGGTCTTTCTGTATGCCAGATCAACTACTTTTGCTTTCCTTTTATATAAGACATATCGAAAATGTTAAAACCATAATTTCACGTGAAATATCACTTTAAAGAACCCATTAACAATTTTTTTATAAATTTGCGTTGATTTTTCGATTTTTTTTGGTAAGCGTTCGCTTAGCACGGTTAGCTTTTTAATCATTTGTCAAGTAAAATACCTAATAATTAATTAGATCTTATGTTTCAATGATACCGTAGTAAGCACTCATATATGTTTATATAAGATACATTAGGTTAAAAAGGGGAAAATATAGTTATAATAATATACAGGCTTATAACTCTTCTACATTAATGGATTAAATTCTTTTACCTTCCGAATGGTACGTTACATCTCTTCTTTAGTCTTTAAATGAGAGGAATAGTGATATATATATATGTCTCACCAAAGTTTGTGGTTAAAATATATTTTCCTTTTTTTTTTTTCTTTATTTATTTATTCTTTTTTTTGATTCACAAATGCTATTTCTGTAAGATGTGTATTGTGTAACAAGAATAATAGGATTAGAGTGAAATGATGATAAGATGATAATGAAGACGATGTTGATAGCGTATTATATGGTAGCCCAGCAACAGCCAAATGCGGATTAGAGATGATAAAAACTTTCTATTAATTGCCGCATAACTCGAAACTCGAAAACCATCGCTGCCTAATATTAAGCCACTGGTAACATCAGTAGCACTTCTCCTGCGTAATGTAGCATCAATGCTATCGGTGCCGCGTAATCTCACTGATGGGCTACGAAATTTAAGTGATGTCATCATAAACTTTATAAAACTTTTTCGTATTCATTGTGTAACATCGAGACCATTATTATCATTTTTTAGCGGCTCTGTCAATCATTTATGGCGGCATAGGCGATTGCGATTATGCGTTGTTGATCTTAATGTGATGGTATTTGATACAACTGCCAATGTAGGTGAGGATGTATTCTGTATTTTATTATTTATTTTATTAACACTGGTGCAGTCAGATTCGCCATAAACTAATCAAATGCTGTCCAATCGCACGTTATAACGAAAATCCACCCAAAACATTGGAGACTCATAGTTGCCGTAATTATTTTACATATATTGCGGCTTGCGCTCTGCCTACCGCAAACTTATATGAAATGATTAAAACAGCCGTAGAAAATTTCGATTTACATCGACAATTGATCTTGGATGAATACCGAAATAGTCGAGTGGGTATTATCTGTGCTCGCCTATGCAAATGAAATGAGTCAACTAGTATGAGGACGTGGATTTGCGGTATACAGGTAGCAATAATTTCCACTTTTATTCATTTTAATTGTCCATTAACGGAAGAGGAAGAACTCTCAAATAATCGTCATCTTGCCAAGAACGGGAGCTTTAACGAATTTTGCCTTTTATCAGCCACCTCCGGAACATAGAGGAACGAAAAGTTGTCCATTCAACTTTCACTCACTCTCAGAACAAAATTAACTAAGAATTTACTATCGCCACTTAAAGGACTGAATACTACCGATAATGTTATGAACGCAGCCCAACAAATTCGGAAATAGAATTAATAAAAAGGGTATGAAGACCATATCTCACCAATTATAGTACGCAAAATCTCGCACAAGAAAAAGCTGATAACAATGTAAGGCATGCGCGTTCAAACAAAAAAAACATGTTTTTACTAAATTGCAAGAGAAGATCAGTCTCTGGAATGAGAAAGCAAACTTATTAAATAAATACTGCATTACATCTTTCAGAATTTGCTATAGGTGAAAATAAAATTGAAGCCAGTAATTAATATCAATTAATCAATGATGATCATGCTTTAGATTATGCTAGCTGAGGAAGCAATCGTCGCCGGCCTGTTATTGGATGTAGTTGAGAACAAATTTCGATTAACCAGAGCAACTAAATAATTAAACAAATATATAACATTGTACCGTGTAAGGTAGCGTCGTTATTATGGAGCTTAGTAGAATTGTTTCTTGCTGTAATGTTATAACTTAAGAAAACACTTTCTATTCTTATCCAAATTTTTTTATATACATATATTACCAACAAATATTAAGAAAAAGGAGAAGAATGTAATAAATAGGTTGTGAAAAAATACGTTTGCTCAACTTCATTTTTCCTAAGCTTTACAAAATAAAATATAATTATTTGAATGAATACGTCCGACTTCATTTTAGTTTGATAACTACATATAACAACAGAAAAACGAATACTATAAAAAGAAGCATATAGCACATGTGACGGCTGCTTGTGTTTTTACCCAAACGCACTACGCGACCCATTGTATTACTGAGAAAACCATGCGTACGATCCATGTCGTCGTCTATGCCACGTAATAGTTTATCTTGATAACGTACTTCATGGCCTATATCAATGGTTAGGCTTTTTAAGGCACCAATTTTTTGTTTTAACTCTTCAGCGGACCGTTCATTTTCTTCCTCTAGAGCGTCTTGCGAAACAGCAACTCTGCTGTTATCGGTGGATGTCTGGGTTAAGGGTTGGTAAGGGTAATTATTTCGCCTCATATTAGCAGAAGCCACGATTGAAATGATGAAATTCCCCCAGTTTAATTCTTACACCCAAAACAAACGAATCAATTAATTATGAGAATGACACACAAAGGAAAACAGTTTAAATGCTCTCTTTTTTCCATACAGCTTGTAGTTTTAAGATATATTACACCCCCAATGTAAATTGTAAACTTTTCTTTAGATATTTTTACGAATGCCAAAGTATGACGTTGAAACTTTACTTTTCGATCTGCGGCTAATGCAAGACAGCTGATTATTCTTCTTCTTGTGTTACTCAGCAAATCAACAAAGGAAAATACGCTGGGATGTGTAAAAAAGGCCCAATGTGTACGCAGAGTTCTTTGTTTAGGCCTTAGTAAAGGTAAGGTTAGATTTATTTGATGATTTTATGATTTTATTATTTAATAATTTTAGTGATTATTTGATTCAAGGTTTTTTTAATTTTGCCTGTTATACGTCCGGAACGTTATATTTCCTTTTTTTATAGTTTTTATTAAAATATGCGTACTACTCGTCCGACACGGAATATAGAATAAAAGCGCGACGAATAAATTCCTATTTGTAAGATGTAATGTTTTGTATGAGTATAAAAATTTATATGAAGGCATTAATGGGTGCGAGAGTAAAAAAATGTAAAAGAGAGTAAAAATTCATAAATTGACATTAAATGCTTAATAAGATTATGTAAAAAAAGAAAACATTGCGCAGTACGATGTTAAATTGTGACAACGTAAAATGTCAAGAATGCTGCGGTCACGAAGACCACATATACCCAATTGGCGTAGTGTGGAATGGCGAACAAAAGTGGTGAAAATTCGGACAAACAAATAGGATATGATCAGGAGATAGCAAGACTCCACATGTACATGAAGGGTTGCTTACTATGTTAATTTTAAATAGATGATCATTACCTCTCGTGTGATTAAACGTTAGCCTGTTAATAAAACAAAAAATGTTACGTTTGAGTCCGCAATTGATAAACCAAGGGGCTTTATTTATTTGTGGAAATTAAGAGTCTAAGTGACGAACACGATCATTAAAATGAGATGGCCTGGAAGACTCAATTTCATCTGCAGTGTTGTTGCTAAGAGGGAAATGATCGTAAAGAAGGCGTTCATTCGAAAATATAGTGCTACATGGATGATTTGAGAAGTAAGCTCCGACTTTAGTATTGGGAAACCAAAGGCCGCTGCCTACAACATCGGTCCTCAATCCATCAGTAAAGACGTCAAATAATCTTCAGTCAAATCTCGTAAGCCATTGACACGTAATTCAAAATCTCAGTCATTAGTAAGCTTACGGCCCGTTTCATCATCAACCGCCACTTTATCATCATTAACTTAACCGAATATAGTTAATTATGATTATCTGCAGCTTCAAAAACAGCATCAACAACGCCAACAAGCGCAACCGCAATAATCACAATCGGTTATGCCACAAGAGCAAGGTACATCGGCTGATAATATAATACAAATAGGCCAAACTTGAGATGTTCGCCGGAAGAGAATTGAAAATTTTGTTAATGAATAAATTAAAACAAAGATGACTCAACACAGACACCCGGGGAATACCTGTGAAAGATCTCCTTTGTTCAACGACATCCTGGCTGTTAATTAACATTATCTAATAGAGAAAGGGGTTATATAATAATTTAAGAGGGAGATTTAAAGAGAAAAGAGTAGAATTTAAGATGTTAATATTGACAGACTCAGTCGCTGAGATTATCTCCAGAAAGCACTCAATGAGAATATGGTTCTTAGTAAATGCTTTGTTTATTGCTGACCACAAAGAGGCAATGTTGTCTTGGGCAGGTCTGCGATGTTTAAAACCAAATCGGAAGTTGCTGAGGACGCATTTACACAAGGGATACGTTTGTAAATATGAGTATAATACTTTCTCGAAAATTTTTCTAAGTGTAAAAAATAAGGTAATACATCTGCAGTAATTAAGATTAGTTGGCGAGTTATTCTTTTTTCTTAAAGTGAAAATTTGTAAGTCGTACCAGGAAGAGACTATATAGTGGGTAATTTTAATTTAAATTCTTTTAGTAGAATTAATTTGTTTCCAATATTCAAAATTTTGAGGTCATTGTCACGAACATCATCTAAGCCCGGAGATCAGGTTTTTAAGAAAGTTATGGCTTTATCGAGTTTAGAGAGAGAGATACGTCATTTAAGAAAAAACTATCACGTTCCTCATCAAGTGATACAGAGAGGATTATATGAGCAGAAAGTCACAGAACTCGTTGAAGGGCTGTGTGGGTATGTAACAACGAGAGGAAGTAATACTTTTAAAAATTCTCACAGTACGCCAAAGATCTGCGACTGACATGTCGCTATTGACATTTTCACAAAATTGTTTCCAACGTTTACGTTTTTCTCGCCTGAGAATATAAGTATATTCCTTCCTAACATCGGCTAAAAATTTAAAATTCATTTCAGAAGGAGATCTTGTGCATTTATTTACAGCGAGTCTAAGTTTGGCAGCGACTCGATTGCATGCGATGTTCCACTAAGAGTTAGTAGGGTAACATTTTATAGACGTCTCAGTTCAGCTCAGAGGATTAAAGGAGAACTTTGAGAATCGATCAAAAAAACAACCCAAGATTGGCTTGGTTGGTATTTAAAATGTTATGGATAGTATTGTTCAGTAAAAAGGGTTTGATGTACTTTGGAACATGGGTATGTGAGTGACACTGGGTAATAGGATGCAGATGAGGACTAATTTCGACTAAACAGTGAGGTGTCATTAAGGGTCCTCCAGGTACGCAATTAACTTTGATTAGGTCTACAAATCGAAAGATCTATTCAACAAAAGACGGAGCCAAAATGAGTAGGATCACCATTATTTAGTTAGTAAATTGCTGCTTTCCAGAAAATCTTGTATTTGTCTGCCTTTTGAATTGGAAAAACGACTACTCCAACACATATTGCGTGCATTAAAATCACCAAATATTGATGCAGATCTGTTGGATCTGAAAGAAATTAACCTGTTAATGGAATATAGCAACTAATGATCAAGAGTGCAGCTGCAAGTTTCAATGGGTACACAAATTACAAAATTAGGAGCGTCAAAGAATGAAAGCTTGTTAGATATAAGGATCGCCACCACAAGAACCACACCACGCCCATGAGAGGAGTTGGAGATACGATCAAATCTAATTACTTTATAATTTTTAATAGAGAAAGAATCATGAGGCTTAAGAAAAGTTTCAAAAAGACAGACGGACAAGTTTCAAAGAAGTTATTGTTCAAGCTGTTTTAATTTGTTACGGATGCTAGTGCAATTAAGTTGAGCTATTTTCATCATTGATTCAGAGGGAATAGGAGTACGAACACAAAGGAGGTCGTTGGTTAAAAAGACTCTTATCAGATAAGCGTGTGGCGGAATTAATAATAGAATTTGATTTAGAGTACGGCTTGATATTATGTAATTTTCAAATACGATCAGAGATTTCAGATAAGTTAGAGCAAATGGTAGAATCAGTGATCATTTCGTGATCGGAAGGAATATTATCTGTGATGGGTGTCTCGGTCTCAGGATTTGAAGGTTTTATATTGGAAGGGGAGATGATGATTTCAGGAGTTATCCTTTTTCTTGATTGGAAGTGAGACAATAGATTCCATGTTTGGTGCTTTGATTGTTGGTTGAGCAGTCGATGAAGGTAATTTAGGGAAGCTCTCAAGAGAAAATGAAAAGTTTGGATTAATTTGGACGTGTAAGTACTTCGAAAAAAAAAAATAAATTTGTGATTTGATATGTTCTGCTGCGTCTTCTTTGAATTTGACAAATTTTCTTGTCTGTTGAACAAGTTTTGGAATTAGAAGATTGATCATCCTTACAATTAATGCATTTTTTGGCATTTTGATGAAAATTCATGGAACTATCGTGGCTTGTGCCACAAGAATGGCAAAGCGACTTTTGGCGTGAGCACATTTCATCTGTGCGGCCTAAACGCCAACGTATGCCTTCCAAACAGATGGGGGAAGGTAAAACATTTCCGGAAAAACTTCTACGAACTGTATCCAAAGCCCCACTAGAGTTAGAGATTTGGTCGAATTTGTGAAAGTGCATGACTTCCACAGCTTTGCAGAAGTCAGGTAGGGGATCGAGTTTAAGCAGATTTTTGGGAGAGGTATTTGAATGGATTTCAACTTGGATGAACCCAGAGGGGATAGAAGTAACCTCGCGGATTTCGCAGAATTCGTACCGGATGTGCGCATTATAAATATTGTTAAGTGAAATATTGGCGGCTATAGAATTTGTCGTAGCCGCATCGGAGGGGTTAAATTTAATTTTTTGTTAGAAAAAAATCGAGGAAAAAGTTAAGGAAATCATGATTCGGCCAATATCGATTATTGGCAAAGCATTTTTTCGGGGCTGGATAAATACACTATACTCAATTCTAGTGTGGGCGTCAGCTCGAGCCTTGGCAATTTTAACGTCCCTACTTTCGAGGGAGAAGATTCGGGTTTGTGGCTAAACCATGTTTCGCAGATTAAGTTTTGCAGACTTAGAGATGATAAGCAGCCAACTTATGAAATGGAATGAAGTCGGAGTGTGTAGTGATGCACTTTGAGGTAGATATACCCCGCAGTGGGAGGTAATGTTGTTCATTTTCCTAAATCGCAAAGTTTCACTTTTTCAGATGTATTAATTGTTATCTTTTTTTTTTTTTTTTTTTGATTTAATGCGCCTTTTCTCTCAGCTACGTTGCACAAACAGTTGCTGGTTTTGTTTTTGTTTTGCTTTTAAAAATGATTTTGTATTGATAATTAAATTTGAATTATAAATGCGTTATTAAGTTGTCACTTTTGTAAACTTTCACAGGGTTTTTTATAACAATTCAGCGTATTATTTAAAAAATTCGTTAATTAACAAACTTCGTCCTGATCGAAATTTTCGTTTTCACATTTAAAATATATTTACAAAATTTTTATTGTGTTTTCCCGTAAATATTCTCTAAAATTCTTCATTTTTCGGGCGTGTCAAATAGATTATCGTTTTTAGGTTGAGTTAGTACGGAATGTGAAAGTCTTATTTGATTTGTCGCCATAATTAATTATGTTTAAAAGGATTCATTTGTCTTTTTTTTAAGTTGATTGATCAAACAACATTGGTCCATGCACCTCTCCTCACCCTTCTTTCATAAGCAAATAGAAAAATCTTTTCGCGGACAGGTCTCATTAATCTAATGCCATCTAAAATAATCTAATCTGTCCCCATCAGGAATTTCCCCATTTTAAGATTATTTTTTCAATTTTTAGATACTTAAGTTGTTTACTGCGCTTATTCTCATTAATTCCTGGCTGTTTTTACCCAATAGATTTCTCATTTGGCGCGGTCGGAGCGAGAGCGCAAAAATTGCAATCTTGGAAACTTCACTTAAAATACAATGATGTTTTTATTACACAATTTTCAGGTAAGCCATCCAAATATGGCAACTCTAATTTTACATTGCTGTCACCGAAAGATAAATTGATTTATATAAATAAAACCAACGAAAGAAATATCTAAATTTAAAGTATTGACACTAAATTAAAAAAAAAAAAAAGAGGAATTATATATTTATAGAAGAAAATAAAAATATTAGCTAATAAAAATTCTAATAGGTAAAAGGATCCATTTGTTTTCGTTAAATTATTTGCATATGCGTGATAAATGAAAATACTGTTCTCATAATCAAGATGAAGGTTTATATATTTTATAAGTTATAAGTGAAATCTGAAAAAGAAAAAGTGAGAAACATGCAAGATTTACTTAAAAAGTTCTAATAGAATTGAAGGATTTATATTCTTTATTCAAAAGTATATAAATTTTTATTTTACACTGTTAGAGAAAGTCGTAAAAGCAACAACGTAATAGTGGCAAAATTAGGTGGGCTAAAAAGTAGCTGTCAGGGGCATATTTCAATTGCTAAATAAGAGTAGAAAAGTAATTCTCTTGTCTAATGTACGCTTACTTGTATGTAAATATAAATATATAATTGGATGATAATATGTGTGCTGAAGGTAAATATAGTTTTTGTCGTCTTGTTTTTTGTTTTTACCGGTTATGTATGTACATATAGTCGTTACTAATTTTTGGATGTGGTTTTTGTTTTTGGTTTTTAATTAAATGATGAAATTGCCTATTAGAGAAATCTTATGCCTTAAGTGAGAGATAGTTTAGTTTTATATAACAACGTCTAAGCATCATCTTAATTTACATAAGCTTATGAATTTTGTGAAAGTATTTCATTTTGGTCAAAACGTGATCGGTAAACTACTTACATACAGACTTTAAATTAAAATTGTAAACATAAAATTGTGTAATCAATAAAATCTATATAAAAAAATACACGAAAATATATGAAAAAGAATTCGTATTATAATTATATAAAAAAAAGCAGAAACCAATTTTTTTTTAAATTTAATGATTTTCTTAAATTTGCATTTATATAGTAGGATTACATCGAAAGAAAAATTTAAATTAATTTTGACTCGGTTGTTGCTACGAAGTGAATTATAGATATACAATTTTTGTTTAATCACGGATATTAATGCATCCATAGAAACTCTTAAGTTTACGTAAACAACATGTAATTTCATCTTTCTTATATTCATTCAAATTGATACATTTTTGTATTCATCCTAAAAGAACACAGCTGCCTACTCAGATTTATAACCATCAGATATACTTTTTTTAAGTCGTTGCTTTATTGGAAAAATTAGGATTGAGAAAAACAAACTAGACAATCCTAAGCTTATGCTCAAAGTAACTTAATACGTTTGTAGAGGCTAATGTAAATAACAATAACATTGATCTAATGCTTCATAACTATAATATATTATGGGATTCTGTGTCACATGCATGTGTGCGTGTGAATTTATATGTGCGTATATATGTCACAACTGTTTTGCTTATAATTCTCATGAGGCTGCATTTTTTATATGCACTAATTTTCAAGAGTCTTATTATCAATAACTGTTGACGTTTAATCAAATCAAGGACTATACAATAATTTTGATAGAAACATAATTGATATAAAATAATAATACATAGATCGTATAAGAACGTATAACAACAATGCATGCATTCAATTGTTACGTATAGAGGGAAGAAATTCTTATTGCATTCGTTAGTGAACATAAGCTTGGCTCGAAATTTGCAAAAATGCGCCTTATGTTATTTCTAAAGCGAAAGAAATCTATTATCCCACTAACGAAAACCGTATTTTTTCGAGTGGGAGGAAGGATAACAGAGAAATAATATTCGAGAAACTTATTAAGTATCTTTTTAATTATTAAAAAAAAAAAATTGAATTATTTCAGAAAAAAATATTGAAAGAGACCACACTGTGTTTATATTCGTTGGGCACCTTTCGTTTAAGGCGATCTGGGGCAGATAACCTAGTTGATTGAATCAAAAAAAAAAAAACTAAAAACACTTAACCTTAATGCCTATAGCTAGCGAAATAAATAGGAGACTTTAAACATTGTAATCAGGCCCACTATTAAATACCCCACATCACATTGTCTAACACAATTCTTATTTTTAAGCTACAACAAAAAAATTTAATATTTGTTGTTATATGATCTTACTATTATGGAACCGTTTATTAAAAATTAGACTTCTTTGGAAATAAAGATTTGTTGTGCTTAAGAAGTTCAAAAATTGTGGTGCGTGTTTAAAATTCAGCAGAAGTTATTTTTATATCAAATTACTATGGATCAATTTTCATCATAAAATATTAAAATTTGGGCTTTTCTGCTCTACGAAGGATCAAGTTTCGTGAAAATCCTTACGTAGGGGAGGCTCCAAAAAATAGTCCGAGATGGCTCAAATGTCGTGCAGTGAGTTTTTTTTTATCTTAAATTACTAGTACGATCTGATTTTTATCATGAAACATTGAAAATTAGGCCTTCTTGTTGTATGAACTTCAGTTTTCGTTATATGACGGAGATTTCAAAAAATTGCTCCAGCCGATCCAAACTTTTTACACCAATTCACTATGCAGAAATTCTATTACTCGCTTGCAATTTTTTTCATTTTCCCGTTTTCAAAGTAGGGTGTTACAAGGAGAGTGTGTGGGCCAATCCAAACGATTTTCAATAGCGCTCGTCGATGGGTCAAAACTCGTCAGTGTATACTGGATGGACGTCGGAAGGACAGACAGGCTTAGATCGTTTGATTCTGAATGGATCAGTATAATAAAAAGTGGATCCTAAGCGCCTCTCAGTGTTACATATATCCGCACAAACGTACCATAACCTGTACTGTAATAGAGCACTGGTGTAGGATATAAATATTGATTTAGTGTGATTGGCGAGTATTTAAATAAAAAAATTTTAACATTTGTCCAAAAAATAACAAAAAATATTTATTAATAAAAAATATTTAACGTTAACTTAAGCATTTTAAAATTGCTGTAAAAAGCTTCAACTCGAAAAGAATGAAAATTGTACGAGTTGTTGTGTGGTTGAAAATGTATGGTTTTGAAATGTATTGCAGACATGTTTCATAATCAAAACTAAAGACTTAACACTAAACTTTCAATTTCTAAGCAAAGGCGCTGAAAGCTTTCGAATCGTTCTCTCAATATCATGTCTAATCAACATTTATATTTGTAAAACTATGTTTGTTAGTATATTTTTATTTGAAAATGCTCTTAAATGCATATACGTCTTGGATACGTTCTAATACAATCTATGAGTGTTTTAGAAAAATTCGAGAAGAAATTCACCGCTGAAACACATTAGATTGTAACTTCTCAGCAGGGATCCATTTGACATAGGCACTTTGTCCAAGGTGTTTGGGGTAGAGCGCGCCAAAATTAAAGTAAAAGCTTTCTTTAATATAATGAACTATTTCTCCACGTATTCGAGAAAATTTAAAGGAACTATTAAATCTTAAGAAATCTATAAAAATGCATATGTATATATTATATAACGAAACAAGTGGATGGTATCGGCTTATCTTGATTTGAAATATCTGAGCGACACGTTTCAGCCCGTCGTTTCGACAAGAACAAGAAGGTTTAGTAACAAATTCTTTTGTGCGTAAATAATTTTTTCAATTGGGTTTCACAATTCCCTCGTTGACTTGTACTTAACAGTTTTCGAAAAACCACTTATCCTCTTCATTATATAGAAAGTAGTTATGTAACATTATGTAGATAGTGATAGCTTTTATTACAACCAGCACTGCACATACGAATTTCGTTCTCTACAATTGAAAATCATTAAAATTACAAACGAAGGTTTAGTATTTGTATTTAATTTACGCGTCGACACTTATCGATTTTCGATACGTTTCTAATACTCACGATCGTTGGCTGGCCGGTATGTTAATTTTATTAAAACACTTGCCTTCGTTTCCTTCGGAGACGCTATACTGATCTCGTAAAATGCATATAATCTTGACAGTAAAAAATTCTTCATCAATTTAGGTAAGTTTATGAAAAATATTCTCGTGGTAGCAAAAAAATTAAAAGATCAACTTGACGCTTTGACATGGAAGCATTGCAAATTGTTGGGAAACAAATGTTCAGGTACACATTTTATAGGTGATCCTACAGTATTTATATATAAATGGGAACAATCTATAGCTATAGCCAACCACTTTTATAAAATATTAAAACTTCATTTTTGAGTTACATTCGTATAAAGTTGATTTGTGTGGGCATTAAAGATTCGGTTAAAGTTGTATGTAACTTTCTTAACTGCTCTCTTTCGCATTATCGTTTGAAGGCGTGAGAACGCCATTAATATTTTGAAAGTTTCTCGAATTATTTGCATGTTTTTATTTTATTGATTACTTTCTGCCATATCTTATAGTATTAAAACTAAATTTTAAAAGAATATTTAAAAATGGGTGCAACAACGAATATTGATGATAGTGACTTAGATTGGGCACAAAATCTGGCAAATAAAACTGGTTCACCAGAAGCAGCAATACGTCTATTATTGACTATATGTGCAGGTAACTGAAGTGCTTATGTAGTAGTATTATTGTTATTGTAGTATAAATTGTTAATATAAAATTTTTCAGGTTATCCGATTGCTTTAATATATCGTGGTTTTATCCGAAGTATACCAATTTTTAATGTACATCACCTGTTTTTTGCTTTAACTGGCTCGGGTTTATGTTATTTTAACTACGGAGTTGATACTTATCATTCCTTGGTAGCCATCTGTACGAGTTACATTTTAATGCACTTATTTTATAAATCGTCAACTTATTTGATCGCTACCAATTTTACATTCCATATGGGATATTTGTTGACGGGCTATTATTTCACGGAAAGCAGTGATTATGACATATTATGGACGATGCCGCATTGTGTCCTGGTACTACGGATGATAGGCTTTGCTTTTGATGTGGCCGATGGTCAGAAACCACATGATAAACTATCTAAAGATCAACGGGAATGTGCGCTTAGGGAGTTACCTACATTGTTAGAATTATTGGCGTTTTCCTATTTCCCAGCATCATTTTTGGTGGGACCGCAATTTCCGTTTCGACGCTATCGACGTTTTATTAATAGAGAATTTATGCAATACAAAGGATCGGTACAAGAGGGGATGAAACGTTTAACATTGGGTTTGATTTATTTGGGTATACGTCAAATGGGTACCATGATGTTACCAGATGATTATTTCTTAACGGATGCTTATGCCAATCAAACATTTTTACGTAAAATTTTTTACATGGGCTTATGGGGCAAATTCTCTCTTTATAAATATATTTCGTGCTGGTTGATGACCGAAGGCGCATTAATGTGCTTAGGTAGGTAATTCCGGGTTGCGTATAAATATTATTTATTTGCTTTTCATTCTATTTTAAAAAAAGGATTTACCTATAATGGCGACGCATTGGACGGTAAGCCAGATTGGTATGGTTGTTCAAATGTGAAATTGTTGCACTTAGAAACTGGAACTTGTATGCAACACTATGTGCAATCTTTTAACGTGAACACTAATCTTTGGGTGGCCCAGTATATCTATAAGCGTTTGAAATTTCTTAATAATCGTACCATTAGTTACGGTGGAGCACTAGGTTTCCTAGCGGTATGGCACGGTTTTCATAGCGGCTATTACATGTCCTTCCTATTGGAATATATAGTGGTTACGGCAGAAAAACAAGTGAGTTTATTTGAAATTTTCATTTATTAGCTTATAAAGCTTATAAAACGATATTTGGGTCTTTAGATCGAGGAAGTTTACATCAAATCCGTTATACCGCACATGGGGTCTGTAGTTAAAAGTTCATGGTACAGTTATTTAAAACTTATCGCTTTAAAGTTTTACAACATCGTGTTCATGGGCTTCTGTTTGACTCCATTTATATTCTTGAGCTATGAACGATGGATACAAGTGTTTAAGTTTGTTGACTATTATGGTTTTATTTGGCTGTCAGGATGGTTGATATTCTATTTCGTCTATCAATATTTGCATACGGACAATACCAAGAAAAGTGGTCATTCCGTTCGCAAAGACGAAGTATTCAGTAAAGCTACAGATTTATCGCCTACCGTTGGCGCTGCCCGATACGATAAGAATTCCATAGCGGTAGATGCGAATTTTAGTCAAGCAACTGATTTATCGCCTACTTTCCAAAGCAATAAAAAGAATAACTAAATAAGGCCCCAAAACTTAGGATAGATTTTCTTCCTCAAAAGACATTTTTTCCAACTTCGAAAGAGAACTCATATTTTGTCTTGCACTCTATTAAGTATCAATATCTAGTCAGTGTATGCTCTATTAATTCAGTTTCGGGAAGTTGTTTTTGCAAATTTTACATCAGAATATAGAGAAATTCAAAAATCTCAACTATTATTACTTATTAATAATGGTAATTAAGATGAAATCGTTGTCCAGGTTTAAGCGTAATTTTATTCGGACAAAGGAAACGAAAAGATTAATTGTGATTGCTTTGTTTTTTTTATCTAAATTGAAAAATATATTCTAAAAAGGAAAAGAAAAATACATCTTCAATTATATAAGAAAAAAAAAAAAGAAAAAAAAAAAAGTAATGCAGAAAATTTAAATACGTCAATGTAATGAAATAATATGTATAAATATAGATTATCCAATGAGAAAATATTGACGAAGCTAATGTAATGAAATTTGTAATATGATGGTAAAAATTATATTTTTGTAATTTACAAAAACTTTGAAAACTACCGACAGGGATGTAGTTACCAAAACAAAACAAATATCTTTTCAATTCACTAGATAATATTATTACATTTTACAGTTGCGATAAAATTTTTGCAAATTTTTTCTGAAGGACTGGATTTTATTTTCGCTATATATAGACAGAAGTTATTTTTTCAAATTTCCATTAAGGCTTGGATATTATACCAAAAAAAAAAAAAAAAAAAAAGTATCTAAATATAAATTTCACATTATGATGCGATCAAAACGAAAGCATTGCATCTTTCTTCAAAAAGCCTCCTTGTAATAATATTTCTATTTACATATATTTTATCGAATAATTTATATATCCATATAAGTATATAGCTTTGCACGTTATTTTTAAAAATTATTGTTTTGTATTATTTTTTTATATATATTTGTAAAGAAAACTTCAGAGAAGAATTGCCATTGATTTATCGTGAACTATATATTATATATTTAGTTAATAAGTTAAAAAATAAAAATAATAAAGATCTTGTGATTCTGGCCTCAAATACGTTTTTGATTATGCGGAAAAATGTTAGCCTTAAGTTGTTTAATGTTTAGGCCTTATTAAAATTTAATGGTTTTTCTTTTCTGGTATAGCGTTGAATTCAAAAAAATGCAAGGAGATGTTTTTTGCGTAATGTAGTACGTTGCCCTCTTATTATCGTATTGACAATCCACCCTGAAAAATGCTTGCAATTACAACGATTTAAGAGTTGTTTTCGACTCAAAGCTGAATTTCGATATTCATATAGAAGTTTCAGTTAATAAAATTAGATTTCTTTTAGGGTTTATATAAAGAATTCAATGACCCATAAGTTGATCCAGCGTTTGTGTACATCTTTACTCTTGAATACTCGCCCGTATTTTGGCTTCCTAGTTATAGATGTCATGATGATCTTTTCCGGTCTGTTCAACGGGACTTTTTGATCTTTGCTTTGCGAGGTTTGAAATAGGATTCTACCCTACCTCTTCCACCATATAATAATAGATTGAAGCGCATTCATCTGCCTGCCCTTGACAAAAGGCGTGAAATGTTGAGTGCAACCTTCGTGTTGAAGCTAATAAAAGGAGATGTTCATTCGGATGCCTTATTAGAACTTATAAACATTTACATCCCTAGTAGAGTCTCTAGACACTCTGCGCTCTTGTAGCTACCACAATGCCGAACCAATTATGAGTTCTTCAATTTGTGTAATATGTAAAATGTTCAACGATCATTTAATTTACTTGATCTATCCGTTTTGTCCGTCAATAAGTTTAAATCATTATACTGCATAACTAACTGCTAAACATTTTCGAGTCTGATACAAATACATGTAAATTGAATCTAAATATTTCTCTGTTTTTTCTCACTTAACACGAGTAACACTCTTGTTAATGTATAAATAAGCACTTATTTATTCAGTAATGTATTTTCTCTGTATCTTAATTTAGCGCTTAGTTGAATTCTGGCGCATATTACGTGGTGATCTTTGTTTATTCTTTTTTTTTTCTCCTTACTACGTTTCCAGGTATTTTGTAGCTTACATTCATTCGACTAATGACTTGTTCTGGAATGGAATTTAATTGAAATGAAATAAATAAGTAAACATCTATCATTCGATTTAAATCTTAATTTAATTTCTGTACACATCGGCTTCCCTTTCTTTCGATAATAGACCCTTATTTTTAAGCAATTCATGCATATTTATGTTATATTATAATCTTGCGTAATTTCATATTGAGTAAACAATGAAAGCAAATTTAAGATCCAAAAATACTTTTCGTTAAGAAAAAAATGATTTTGCTCGTAGTTTCAAGGAATATATGATTATTATGAATAATTCAATGTTTATTTTATTACTGATAAGGCATCAAAATAAAACTACGCAGTATTTTAAAGGTAGAATGTTTAACGATCCCGTTTAATGTTCCATTAGTTGAGCATCTCCGCTGCCATCTTCTTCACGTTTCGGTTGCAAAATTGAAGCTACGTCCTCCACTTGTTCCTCAATTTCATTAAACATATACTCATCTTGGTATTCTTTCAAAATTCGACTGGACCGATTTTCATCTAAAAATAGCGAGTAGACTTTTTTAACGTCTTCGGTGGTTACTTCGGTAGCCTTGCGGCGGCGACACACTAAATTGGCCGTAGTTATTAACTGTATGGCATAACGCAAACTAGTATCCGTAGCAATCTTTGTTAAAATGGTTAGAGCATCAGGATGCATAAGGCAGTCTTCTTCCTCACACCGAATTTTTAATATTTCCTTAATTTCTTTCTCAGTATAGGGTATAGTGCGTATGATAATCATACGATCTAGTAAATCAATAGGTATACCATGAGGGCTGCGATAATTGGTGCCGCGTATACGTGTTATACCGCGGTTAGTCGCCATTACAACTACGGGTGCCATATCAGATTCTAAAGCACGGTTGAGGAATGAGAAGCATTCAATATCCAGCATGTGCACTTCATCGATGAACAAAACACCAGGATTAATTTCAGCTTTACCCTCTTCGCGCCATTCCAACACTTTATTATTAATTTGATCGCGTACTTCTTGTTTAATTTCACCGGTATCGCCCGAAAAGAGTGCTAAGAAACCGTGGGTACGGCTATTAATTACATCGATTTCATGTAAAGTGACAGTATGAACGACTTCTTTGCGTTTTTGTAGCTCGCCTTCCGGACACTGAACGAAGCGAGTCTGAGCTCCCGTAGCATCATAGTCACGAGCTCTTGTAAAGCTGCGTCCCAGTTTGTTAACTTTACCGGAAGCCTTGTCGATAGTTATAACATCGCCAGCCTGAATTTTCTCTTTAATAAAACATTCGATAATTTTATTGCCCAAGTCGTAATTGGTTTCCATTTCAGTGGTTTTTAAGGTGACCTGAAACGATATAGGGAATTAATTAATTGAAAATATGCAACCAAAGCCGGAATTACCTTTCCCACTTTTTGGCCTGTACCAGTGACAGGACGGTCGATTTGTATTTCAACAACTTCGCCTTCTATTATTTCAGTTTCTTCTTTTATGCGCACGCCAATACTTTTACGTAAAGCTTGAGATAATGCTTCGGTTTTACTCATTTCTAACGAATAGATTTCCGAGCCGGACATACTAGTAAAAGGCGTTTCAGTACCCAGAGCTTGAGCCATGCCCACCGCTATTGCAGTTTTACCAGTACTCGGTTCACCGGCTAATAAAATGCACCTCCCAGCCATTTTCCCTTCACGCACCATTTGTACGACAACACCAGCGGCACGTCGAGCATCTTTTTGTCCAACCATACCCTGGGAAACAGCACGCGCTTCCAATACATCATCTAAGCCCAGACCACGTATATGGGAATGAGCGCCTATACGTTCAATACGCGTTATATCGCGCACTTCAATTTTTTCTCCATCAGTCATTATAATATTTGAGGAAATTCTTTTAATTCTAGAGAAGTCTTGTAAATTATGTTTTATTTCGCAGTTGCTTGGAAACGTAATTTCATACCTTACCGGACTGTTATTGTGAATTATAGAAAAGATTAAGGGTCAGTAATGCATACTATATCGAAAAAAAAGAAAAAAAAAAACACTGTTGCTCATAAGAGCGTTTTTAGTTTTAAAGTACAAAATTTATATTCTGTTTTTCATCAGCTCGTTGCGGAAAAAGGTATTGAAATCGATTGAAGCATGTTTCAAGACAAAGGTAACGAAAACGCAATGAAAAAGAAAATTGTAAAATAATAAAAATAGTAAAATAGTGAAATATGTAGATAAAAATAGAATAATATTCTTATGCTAACATTTCAAAATGTTACTAATAAATATTTTTACCAAGTTTTATTCCAAGATGACGTGTGTAAGCCTGTCTTGTGATTTTTGTTCTTCTATCGAAAGTTGGGAAGTTTTAAACAAATCCTTTATTGTTTAATGAGAGCACGATTCCGTCTAGTCAACTGGCAATACAACCATGAAGTGTCAATGTTTCACCTTCATATTTACTATACTTAACAAAAAAAATATTGAATCAATTATGGCCTTAAGTCTTCAACACGCGCATTATTTCTATTTTCAGGATGGGATTTTAACTCTTTCAATTCTTTACGAGACTTTGTTTAAAGCGAAAAGTTTAATAATTTTGTGTGTACAAAAAAAACAAATAAAGCAAAATGAAAAAAATGTTGAAGGAGGAATAAAGACAATCTATTTTAAATTTAGAATTTATTTATTTAATTTATTTTTATATTGAACTAATTTAAATTTTTTTATTTTATAGGATTTTAAATTTTTGTTTGTACGCTGTATGACCAGAACTTTTAGGCAATGATTTTACTTTG